TTCGAAATTGAAGGACGCTAATTTACTCAAAATTGATACACCCCGGCATACCATCTAGCGGAAGGTTTCGGAAAGGTGAAAAAACATATATTTAATACTTGCGCCGGGTATTTAATGTTCGGCTCCGCCCGAACTTTGACTTTCTTACTTGTTTTAATTGCAAATAACTCAACGACTCCGAGAAAGGCCATCGATAAATTATAGAATAGTTCAAAATTATAAGATATTCGTACATTTACATGGAAACGCTTAAGTGAACCAGGTATCTAAAACTACACCCATTAGAAATAGCACAGTCCAAATATTAAGAAAAGTTGCCCTTCCTCCCTATCTACAGACCCCTCTTAATACCCCTGAGGACCCATTTGAAAATGGGGTAAAATTAGAATTTTTAGAGAGAAAATGTAAACTCGGGTTACGCCATCTACAGTATTTTTGCGCAGAACACCTTTCCGCATGGCGGTCTTTGGACGCGCTTAGAAAAAATAACTCTCATCAGTCCAACTGCGGGGACGCCAACCACAGCCTTAATTCACGCGGTCTTAATTCCATCTCCCTCACCAAGCATGCCTATTGTACTGTGAATTTTATTCTCGGCAGCACCAGTACGAATCTTTTATAATTGAATTCGTCGTTACTGCTCATATCCCTTGTAGCTTTGCAGGTGTTTAGTTGGTTCCAACTCCTTGGGTCTTTGGGTGAACTCAACGATTTCATTTCAAAGATTTATTTAAGGTTTTAGTGGTCACTTCTAAGCTTGCTAAACAGCGTGGTTATCAACCTCAACCACTATTTCGTTTACTATAGTAGATCTATATGATCTGGTATAAAAAAAAACACCACCCTTTTCACCGAAGAAGATCTTGGAGCTTTGATAGCGTAGGGATTTCGTAGACAAGCTGTCACAGCTTCCTTTATGAAGTGATGTAGCGTTAGTAAGTGTCAACAGATCACGTTCAAAACCTTTGTTGGTCATAGCACATTATGTGTGATTGTCCAGCATTATCCAGACTAAGACTGCACTACTTCAGTTCTTCCACAGTCAATGCCCTTAAGGTTAGGTATTCGTCTACCAAGTAACTTTTAGATTTTATAAGAGAGGCTAATAACATCTTAGGTCGTCAGGGTTAGGAACCACCTGAGGGATATCAAAGATCTTCTAGGGCGCGTGGTTACCTGTTTCTTTCGCACTCAAAAAATGTTCATTACATTACATAGTGTGATCGTGTCATTGCTTGAGACGAAGGCTGATCCTAGCTATTTCAACCTGGGTCATATTTCTTGTCCAGCATTTTTGCCAATAATAGTGAACTCAAAAAAGCTTTTTTACTAGGCATTACGTATTAAGTCCCAAGTACAGTTTGGAAGAAAGTATGACACCAAGTTTTTAGCGCCGGGCAAACGAACAAAGATCAATGAGAAAATATTTACGCATCTAAACATTTCTCACAGTGTGCATACTTAAGTACATACCTGAAAAATTTATGCTAACATTGGAAATCTTGTAAGAAAGCAGATTATTGAAATATTTCATTTATTTTCGCAGCCTTGCAGTCTGTGGAAAGTCAGTGAGTGAGCAGCAGGAGCAATACAAACACACGTCTGCGATGGATGGGCAGGGACAAGCAGCAGAGAAAACACATAAAAAGTTGGCAACAGGTAAGCGCAGACACACACAAGAGGCTTGTATGCCGAGCTCTCAAAGACAGATGATCGCACTAAACGATCGCACTAGCGGTGAGGAGAAAGAAAAGGTTTGCACAAACCAAACTCGTTTCGTAGTTTTTTTTTTTTAATTTTTAACATCGAAATGAGGTACGAAATTTTACAAAAACGATTGATGGCAATTGTGGACTGAGTGTATGTACCATAAATACGTATGTAAGTAGATGTGTGCGCGCTGCATAAAAGAGAAATGGTGGGCGCGGTGGCAACCCACCTAACAATTAGTTTCGATTTCTCACGAATCGTTACGTCGCGTCTAAAGATTTTTCCGAAATCGGAACCGATTTCTTTAGTGAATCGTCCAGAATTTCATATGAGAGGGCTCGTAAATAAATAACGTAAGGTAGAATCTTTACGAAACTGTTGCGAATTCGTTAAGCCAGAGCGAAAGACTTTCGACTTTTTGTTCAGAAGTCTGATATCTGAAAAACTCGATGGGAAACATGATGAAACGAATACAGAAGGTGGCGCTGAGTGTGATACCACTAACTCTCTCTTGAAAATTTTTACAGATTTTGTGTATTGTCTGTGTGAAATACATATATTCATATTCACGTTATTCTCCCGACTTTCACATCAATCAGCGCAATCTTGTATTCTACCGGCCTTGGGTGGGAAATCGTTACGAATTCGTTAAGTAATATCTAACGACTTTCGACTTTGTTCAGAAAAGTCTGATTTCCGACTAATTCGGATGCCTTGGCTTAGTGGGCAGCGAAGAAGCTGCGCTTTGTGTGTGTGTGTGTGTGTGTGTGTTGAAGAACCATCGAGTAGGTAGGTGTTGGAAGAACAGCTGAGTTGAGTTGGTGTTGCTGCTGTCGTTGTTGTTGTTGCCACTATATATTGCTGAGGCGGCAGCTTAACGTTTATTTCTTTTTTGTTTAACGCTTGAGTGAATACAACAAAACTAACAAAGAAAATTAACTGGTAGATATTTGTTGGTGCTGCTGATGCTTTTTGTTTGTTTCAGATTTTTCCGATTTTTTCAGTTATTGTTTTAATTTTTATGCCTTGTTGATATTAATGTTTTTTTGGCATGCCAACAGCAGCAGCAACAGCAGCAGCAAAACTAACAAGAATAACAACAAGAAAATCAACAACCTGGCAGACAATAGCAATAACCATAATGAAGCATAACAATGAGGCATAGAGACCTGCTGCTGCTGCTAGATACATTCGCGCACCAACCGGTGTTTGAGGCAGCGAGGCCGATTTCAATTTGTATTTACATTCATTCGACGAATAGGTTAGTCAGTATTCAAGCGCGGCTTGAGCGTGTTGTGCGGTGCGGCAAAAATTAAGCGGACCAACGTTATAGCAAACATCAGTGGTGGTGGTAACGGTAGAGGTGCCAATAAGCTGGTTCGTTGCTTGTGCAGTTGTTTGGCAACAGTAGTTGAATGCAGTTGATGGTGGCCGTTGTGGCATTGGATATCATTTTTGTAAATTTCGAAGAACGAAACGCTCAAGTTCTAAAGTACGATTTGTGACGTTGAAGCGAATTCTAATTAACGAAAGAAAACAAGTTTTTGTATACCTATTTAGCAAAAATATCATATTTGACACTTTTTCAACCGAATTCGCAGTTAAAAGGCAAAAAAAGACTGCAGTGTTGGCTTTGGTCTCTGATAAAAACGGAAGTTTGTAACACAAGTAACGGAAAGCAATAAAATTGCAAAGTTTATGAAAGCCATAAAACGAAATTACATAAAGCGTGAATTAATAATATGGGCGCGAATAAAGAAGCACATAAAATCTAACGCCAATTAAAAACACAAGCAAGTTTTTGTAAACTGCTACTAGAAACGACTAAAAGCAACTGAAATAAAATCTAAAAAAAGTCTACAAAGTATCCAGTAGCTGAAAATTGCCGAAATGACGCGAAACTAATACATAGCTTTAATATAATTTAAATCCGTTAAATTTCAGTACAAACAGATATGTCTACAAAGTCTCCACAAGTCACAAACTACCAAAAACTATACGCAAACTCTTTAAAACGGCAATAAAGCACAGAACAAGGCTTTGTAGAAAAGTCTCCAAGATTGAAATATACAAAAACCTAATTTTACGAAGGTTGGAATAGTGAACAATTTCTAAAAGTTGTGACACAAACTTACTGCATCCTAAATCCGGTAATAAACGAGGATATAGGAATCAAATCCATAGCATCTAAATACAACCAGATAGATACTCCGAACTTCTACAACAGAGACCATTCAAGGTTGCCAGTTTGAAGTCATCTCCGCACCCAAAATGTCCGCTATGATAATGTTGCGTCGCTTCATCGACCTCCTCCTCTTTTTCGTACTAATTGGCGTTGAGATCGCGCTGCGCCAATGGATGCCACCACAGAAGCGCGGCTTCTTTTGCGGCGATGAGTCGTTGCAGTACCCCTTCACCAGCGCACAGACTTTTGGTTTTGGCGCGCTATGCATTGTCGTCCTTGGCATTCCCTTCTTTGTCATCCTCATCGTGGAACTCTTTCGACAGCTATCACATAGCCGTGGCAAGCAGCATGGGCCTGTAGCGCACGAATCCAACGACGATTCTTGCCACTGCGGACGCCGCTGGAAGAATATTTACGCGCAACTCGGCTACTACTTGCTGGGCATGCTGATGACGCTAATCGCCACCGAGATACCAAAGCGCGCCATTGGGCGCCTGCGCCCATATTTCTTTAGCATTTGTAAGCCACGGCTGGTCGATGGCACCAACTGTGACTTTGAACGCAACGAAGGCCAATACTTCGGCGAATACACTTGCGAAAGTGATCTTAGCCAGAAAATGATGGCCGAAATGGCAATGTCCTTTCCCAGCGGACACTCCTCACTCGCATTCTACGCCATGGTTTACATCGCACTGTACCTGCAAGTGGCGCTCAGCACACGCGGCTCCAAGCTACTCAAACATTTCCTGCAATTTGGCTTTGTTATGTTGGCTTGGTTTGTGGCGCTGACACGCGTCAACGATCACTGGCATCACTGGTCCGATGTGCTGGTGGGTATACTGTTGGGCACGCTATTTGCGTGGTTGGTGGCGCGTTACGTGGCCAAGTTGTTTGAGGGCCGTTGCTCGTCGTCCACATCAGCCGCGGCGGCGAAATTGTTGGCACATGCCAGCGTAGCCTCTGCGTCGGCGCAATCGGCGACGCCGGTATTGCCTGCGTACACATTTGGCAGTGTGCCGTATCTGCAGCACCACGGACCAAATCATGCCGCCTACGGTCAGACATACCACAATTACGGCTACGTGCCATAAAGTGGGCATGGCGGAGGGAGAGAAGAAGCAAATGGGCACGAATGGCAGCTGCAGTGCAAAAACAAAAATATATACGAGTACGTCCAAGTGCAGCTGAGTTGCAGTGAAAGCCGTTGCAATTTTGTTATTGTTTTATTGTTTCTTAATTTTTTGCTTAAATTTAAGTTTGCAACGCACGCATGTTTGGTATTGGAATTTGAAAAGAAAAGAGAAACGTTTCGTACAACATACCTGTGTACATTGAATGTAGCATTTCTCGGTTAAGTGATTTCGTTGAAGTCTTTCAAATCAGAGTCGAATTTTAATTGTAACTTACCTTTAGGGCAAATACATACATGTACCAAGTTATGACCTTTTAATATTTAAGGTGTTGATTGGCTTAAAAGTTCAGTTAATTCTTGTGAACACTAAAAACTAAAAAAGAACATTTGGTTCATTCAAAAACAGTGACCAGATAAAAAAATAATAATTTTTGGAGTCTCCAAAAAACTCTCCAAGTTCTAGTAAAGTATAATATTTATTTATTTCCCAGTTTAGTTAGTACCTAAAAACTCAAAATAAAGTTTTTAGTTTAAGATTTGTAACTCTCCAAAAAGTCTCCAGAGTTAGAAATTGCTAAATTCTAATTTTTATATATTAAAATGGCAGCTAGACCCCAAAACACAAGAGTTTCACTTAATTGTAAAAGTCTTCAAAAAGTTTTCAATGGCAATACTATTTGATAACTCACAACTGCTATAGTTTTAGTATCTATATATTTTGGGAAAATATTATTATACCATAAAAAATAGAGTAAAATCAAGAGTTTACTTCTGGTCAGTCAAAAATTTAGTTTCCAATTATGCTAATGATTTCTTTCTATTCGAATTTATTTCTAATAATAAATTGTTAGAGATAAACACTTAGTTATTATATACATATAAATTTATATATTTATATAATTATAAATATATTTATTGTGTACATAATATATTTTACTATACGAATGCTTGTGAGAAAAATTTGTAACACAGAGCTAGCACTGTTTTGTAAGCGAAATTCGCCTTTTCATATCGAAGAGCTTTAACACTTTTATTATATCTAAATAAAAAGTACAGCTATTGTTATTTTAAATTATTTTAATGTGTTAATTTATTAATTTACAGTCTACCCAACAGGTGTTGCTAATTTTCAGCTATGACAAACAAAGTAATTTGAATCCCATTAAATTAACGTAAAAAAATTGCCATTATTTTCGCTTGTTTGGACGGAAATTGTGTCGAATTTATGAGAATTACTTACGTCAACTTGTAAGGTTTGCAGTAAAGGTAAGCAGTACTTAAATCTGATACAATTGACGAAACAGGCAAAATAATTATTTTTCTGCCCTCTGTGTATAATGACCATGACATTTTATTTCCAATACAATGATTCGAATTATTCCTATCTGCGAAAATGCATTGTTTTAAAATGAGATTACGAGGAGATTTACAAATGTAGTCGATTCAAAATTGAAATGGGTAAGTGTCTCGCAAAGCACTGGTTCCATACTGGATACATCTTGACTGCTTATAAAGTGGTGAACAGTCTAAACTAAATCTTAACTATAAATATTATACAATTCCACGATTTTTTATTTTTTTTGAGTACTTTGAAACATTTAAAAAAAGCATTAATCACTGACTTAAAAATCAATAATGAGAAAATTAGTAACAAATTAGTTGAATGCTTCCAAGTTATCAGTTAGCAACAATTATCTGTTTTTGCAGCAAAAAAGGTGCTTAGTCTATTAACAAAAAATTCAGTTGTGCTTCTAAGAACGCTTGTCTATTAGTCCGTTAAAAACAAATGCTTCCTAAAATTAAATTAAAATAAATTTTTATCAGCAGCACAAAAGTGGTTCCCACATTTTTCTGCTTTATTTTCACCAAAAATTTTATTTTTTTTATTATTTTTTTTTTGCGTCAATGACACAAGTGTTTTCAGCGAAGTACGCGTTCAATTTGCGCCGACAGGTATTTGCATTCACAAATTGAATTTATTAAAAAAAAAAGAATAAAAAAACGTAAAACGCAGTTAAATTGTATGGTATAATTATTTAATTTTGCAGCGCAAACCAATTGGACAAATAAAAGTATAAAAGTATGTGTGCATAAATGTATGAAGCCGTAGTTGTTTAGTGGAAAAAAGTAATAGGAATAGTAGGTAGTGCTGTATAAAAGTAATCCAACAAGTATTGCTTCAATAAGCATGACTGTCGCTGTTGTTCTTTTTAAACGAGTAGCAGTACCACTTGACTAAATTTCAATTTATTTATATTTTTGCGGCGCTTCCAAAAAAATGGTTTCTTTTCAACATCGCCAACACTACGATATTGAGGGTATATATATTAGGGTGGTCCAAAAAAAAGGTAAAGACGGAACTTCAATGTTCTCACCCCCTAGGATTGTTCTATACCGAAAAATACGCTCCTATTTTTTTATTCCATCAAAAAATATTTAGAGGTCGCCCAAAGCGTTTACAGTTTTCGATTTTTCGTAGCTCTTATTATTTACGGTATAGGGGCAAAAAAAAAAATGCTAAAAGTCCCCACTTAGCTTTCTAGGTTTTGCTTTTCCACAGGTCAGATATCTCTCCGGACATTGCATTGCAGGAACTTATTTCCGTACAAAAAATGCTGTAAAAAATTTCATTTCATGTAAAGGTACTATGTAACCTAGGGTGTTCCAAAAATGCATGTGAAAAAGTAAGGTCGGAATTTGTATGCTCTCACCTCATAGGATTGTTAGTTTTCCATGTATTTTATATGGGGAAAAACAACTTTTCGTAGAAATGGTATTGAATTCTTTAAAATCAATATTTTTCGATCAGAAAAATCCGGTTCTCTTCAGTTGCCAAGTAATGCAGGAGTAATGCAGGAGATTGTTTTCTTTAAACGCGTTTAAATCTCGTGCACTTCGCAAATACTTTTTCGAATTGAGGACAAATAAAGGGGGGATCGAAATGTCATATTATCATTTTGAAGGTATGTCTGACGGAATTCGAATATGAGACCACCTACAGCTGAATATGTAAACAAATATGAAATGTAATAAAATAAATAAAGTAAATAAATAAAGAAAATAAATAAATAAATAAAAATATTTCTTTTCCTATTGATATTTTATGTCCAAAAGTACATCTATTGCAGAGGTAACCACCCTTGACTATTTCGCGGCCATCGCCATAGAAATATAGTTAGATTTTGTCAAAGAAAATATACAGATAATAGTGACTGTTAGCTCCTTCCTAATCAACTTAAAGTTAGCTTATAGTTAGATACATTTACTGCAGCGACATGTTTATCCGTACAAATCGCGTGCTGTAGTTGAGTGCGCAAAGATGCATGCCACAATTTCCCATTTGCCGCCAAAACCTGTGACACGGACTTTATTTTGTATTTTTAAATTTTTCTATTCTATTTTTTTAGTTTTGTAAAGCGACATGCGACACATTACTTTCGTATGTCATCGCCGTGGAGAAATTCTTGTATCTTTTCATGCGTAGGTTATAGGGGCTATCCATTACTTTTTGCATTCCCAAACATTACCTTCTCCCACTGGGTTGTTGATATCCAGAGAAGGTCAGGGTTCAAATTCTACTGCAGGCAACATGCAAATTAAATGTTTTTTCCCCCTTTTTTTTCTTGATTATTAACTTCACGGATGCTTTTTCAGAACAAATGCGGTCATTTTAATGTGCGCGTAATTGTATTGAATATTTACCAATATACAGTACTTTCGTGGACGTTTATAGTAAGATCAATTACGTTTCTGATTGATTTTAATATTTCTTTCCCGCAGTGTACCGCAGAGCTTTACAACAACACAGACTTAGTACGGCGAATTAAAATACAGAAAAGAAACGACTGGTGTTTGAGTTCGGTCAAAATTGTTTTACCTTTTACAGCACTAAACAAGAAGAGGAAGAACATATGGCTTCCTTATCATCTTAGCTTTAGATTAATCAAGCCCTATAAGCTGCTCACATGAATTTAAAGTAAAATAATTAAATAACTTACAGAATGCACTTGAAAATTTTGCGCAAAAAACAAAATTGTTAGTATGAACTTTTTAATTGCTTTAAATTGAAATTAGTTTCTACTTGCAACGCGACTAAGTAGAAACAAAAAAATTTGTAGACAATGCGTGGGTTGATTCCTAGAATATTAATAAGGCAGACAGTGGCTTCGCGCAGGATGGTTATCAACAATCAGAGTCAAACAAAAGTACTAAGGTAATAAATCCTATTTAGAAATAATTTACAAAATAAAATAAAGGAGGAAGCCAAATATGGAAGAAAGGCAACGCATAATAAATCTTAACCACTGATGCACACTTTCTGACTCATATGTAATCTGGGGTTAAGATGCTAATTGGCTTGATCCGCGCCATGAGTGTGTACGTACATACATGTTTTTGTTGACGTAAAATTTCAAAACTACATATGGGACTGTCCGCATTTAACGCTTGGAGAATAACTCATGTATTGATAATGGAGCTGGGAAAGCCGACATTTTGCTGCGTCAGCATTATATTATTATTACTATATTTTTTTTTTTTTGTTTTAGGGGCAAAGCAACAGGGATTGGATGATTTGCTTTAAACTGCTAGTATGCGCTTACACAATAAGTTAGTATTTGGCCAAGCTTCTCCTCCGTCTTGTCTTTTGTTTTTGATGTTAGTCGGACACTGGGCTTGATCCCAGGCCCTGTGGAATGGTAGTTAGCAGTTCTAGCCACTACACTACAGCGGCCGCTTTATTTACTGCTTAAAAATTTTTTATTTTTTTTTTCGTCAAATCTCGGTTTTATTTGATGTACTCCAAAACATGTATTTTTAATGGTCTCAAGGTTAATTTTGTTGCCTGTTATTTCATGATTTGTTTGCTGACAAATTCTATTCTATCACTATTACCACGCCATTATCTTCACAAAGACTTTCACTTACAGGCTTTTCATCATTAGCGACGAAATTGCTTTCGCCTAAGTAAAAGCAACTTCTTCAACTATGTCGATCTTCCACTCAGCCGGCGATATACTAGCCCAAAGTTAATTCCTGTTGCTTTATTTGATGAATGTTCGAAAATTATCTCTCTTGATAAAAAAGCCCAGGTAAATTGGTAATTGGTAAATTTATTTGGTACAACAAATGTGTCTATCAGAGCATTTGGCAGTCCAATATAAAAAAAATGAGAATATGTAACATATGTACATATATATGAAAAATATATATATTGTTTTGCAATAAAGCTTGTTAAGAATTTTAAACTGATAGAATTTTTTCCAAAGGTGGTGGTATACTAAATTATAAATTAAATTGCATGAACACCGTTCATCAATTCTGGAAATCTATTCTGTCTTGTCTAAGAAAAACTTTTGTACTAAATTCATGTCTACATGTCAACCCCGTTCTTGCATTTTGTTGTTTTAACGTCAATTTTTTACGCATTGCTACGAAAACTTCATGGCGACCCACCCAATATTACTAATAATATAAATAATACTAAATTTATATCCATTTCTATCTCGAAATCTCAGAAAGCCTACCATTTGTGTGAATGAACTTGTGGCCATATGTACCCTCGTATAAGTTATACGATTCATAAATTATGATTCATTAATTGAGAAATCGAAGACACCATACGCCGGAATTTCTCGCTTCACCAAAGATTGGCGGTTTTACACTAACTCGATTTTCAGTGGAATCGATGCTGATGCTGCGCAACGGTGGTTTGGGAAATATAAAAATTACAAAATTTCAACATCACAGTGATGCGGATGCTGACGAAAACGTATAACTATTTATATCTAGAAGAAAACCATATGAAAATAATGAGCTGTTTTTTTCTCTCTCTTTTTGTAATTTAAAAACAAAAGTGTGAAACAGCTGCTGAAAATAAGCACTGAAACACAACTAACAAATTAATGACCGAAAGCGCTGTTTGTGCGCGCATGCTAATAAGTCTTGCGAAAGGTATTTGCTTAATTTATGAAACACTCAAATTTAGCAAAAAAAAATTTAGAATTCTCCGCTAATCTTCTCTTTAATGCTTAATTTATTAGTCGAAAAACAATGTAAAGGTCATTGGGTTGTGTGG